TTTATTTACACTTCAATATTGCTCCAGTTTTCTTCCTTTTTTTTTAGTAATCTTTACAGCTGTTTTAAAAATTATTTTACACTTCCTTTCTAATTGAAAAACTTCCATATTTTCCTATTCTATGGAATAGATCATACAACATAAAAAGTGTCTGATATTTTAATGATTCAAAGAATATGCCATAAATTTATTTCAGCCAAATGTATTCTTGGGAACAAATCTTTGGTAACTTCATGTCTTTAGCTTTTGTTTCAGCTATATTCTTCTGTAGCCAATTATGATAATTTATATTCATACATATAACTTATATTTTTAAATTTCAGAATGGCACTCTATAATATACACATTTTTGTATTACAATTCTAATCTCTTTGGCATCTGTTATACTTGAATTATCATTTCAGATTTTACATATTGTTTTCTTTGTATAATTAAGGTTGTTAAGGATTAAATCATTATCTCTAAAAAAAAAAAAATTCAATTCTACTAATTTCCTACTTTCTAATTCACCAATTTCTGCCTTTATCGCACCAATTAATTTCACTAGACTTACTGGTTATTTTGTTTATGGTTTCTCATATTGACAGCTTAATTTTTTTTGTGCTTTACTATTCAAAATGAAAGTATTTAATGTGATGGCATGTTGGCCATGTCTCATGCAATACTGTCATTATTGTTATTTCCTTAGCAATCTGCTGCTGAAATTTTCATATCTTTCATACAAAAGTTATTTAGAAGGTTTATTCTTTCTTTTCTGCTTTTTTATCTTGCAAGAGATTAAGATTGTTGGTTAAGATGTTTTCAACTTCGTATTTATTTTATTGTGATCATATTTGACATCATTTTGGTTTACTAAAATTTATTAGGTTTATATTTATATTCTGAGATAAATTATATTTATATTCCTTGTATATATAAATTGCCTTTATTATATTACTCAAAATTCTTCATGCTTTCTCTATAATTTTTAACCTAGTTTAAAAGTTAAAAACTCAAAGAGGTAAGTAAATGTCTTTCATTACCATCATTTTTCTATCAAGTTCATTTTTTTTTTTTTTTTGAGATCTACTTTATAGATTTCTATATTATGTTATCTGGTATAAAGATATAGGTTTTTTTTTATATTCATTTATTTATTGCTGACAGACAGAGACAGAGCACAAGCACGGGATGGGCAGATAGAGAGGGAGACACAGTATCCAAAGCAGGCTCCAGCTCTGAGCTGTCAGCACACAGCCAGAGGCGGGGCTCGAACCCACAAACTGTGAGATCAAGACCTGAGCTGAAGTTGGATACTTAACTGACTGAACCACCCAGGTGCCCCTGGTATAAAACTTTCTTGACTATTGGGATCTCCCTAGAGATTGAGGTCTTATTATTAATGTAAAATGTATTTATTTTATACATTTTATTTTTTCTTTTCTTATAATTTTGAGTCTTTTTGTTTTTATTTCAATGATTCATTTTATTCAGTGAATTTTGGATATTTAATTAAATATTTAATTAAAATATTTTTTCTACAGTGGTTTTGTTTTCCTCCAGTAAAAAAAAAGTTGTGATTACATGTTGATCTATTATCTAATTTTTTCCTACATAGGGTCATTTTTAAGAATCATATTTTCTTTTTATAACTGGAAGATTTATTCTTTTTTACTTCCGTTGTCTTTTTACAACTTCTTTATTGTTCTAATTCTCTTACTACTTAATTTTATTGTGTTTTTGTGTTTTACTGTTTATTTTATGGTTTCTTTCACTCTCTTATCTGTCTGGTGATTTGGAAGGTATATATCCTATTTTAAACAACAAATTGACTCATATTTAATTCATCTGGCACTCATACCCCATTGCCAGTTTTCTATGGCCATAGTCCCAGGTAGTGAACCTAGAGTTTATCTGAGAATTATGACCTGTGATGATTAGTTTATGTGTCAATGTGGTCAGGCTATAGTACCCAGTTATTCTATCAAACACTAACGTAGGTGTTGCTTCAAAAGTGTTCTGTAAATATGGCTAACATCTACAATGAACTGACTTTAAGTAAAGATCACCCTCAATAATGTGGATGGGCCTCATCAATCAGTTGGAAGGCCTTAAAAGCAAAACTGAAGTTTCCATGAGGAAGAGGAAATTATGCCTCAAGACAAAGCTCAAGAGTTTGCAGCCTATCAACCTGCCAACATTATTTTGAACTTACCAGTACTCATAAGCATGTGAGCCAATTTGTTCAAATACATCTCTTTATATATACTATTATATATGCTAATATATATACATGTATATATATATACATATATATACATATATGTATTCTACATATACACACACATAACCTATGTGTTATACGTATTTATATAAACAGAACCCTAATACATTAACTTTTCAAATTTTATGTAGTTTCTTTTATAAGAACAATTAGACTTTCTTATTTTAATAACCATATTTACAGTATGATATTTAACTTATTTCAATGCTTACCATTAAAATATATTTTTATATACCTTTACAGTATTCCTGAATTGTATTTTTATTTGTGAACTTTAAATCGGTTTAATCTCTTTATTAGAAAACTTTTTGAGGGACACCTGGGTGGCTCGGTTGCTTGCAAGCATCTGACTCCTGATTTGGGCTCAGATAGTGATCCCAGAGTTGTGGGATCAAACCCCATGTCAGGCTCTTGTGCTGAGCATGGAGCCTGCTTAAAATTCTCTCTCTCTCTCTCTCTCTCTCTCTCTCTCTCTCTC